AAATAGGAATTTATTGCGAGAAAATCATCTTTAGTAGGAAAGAAAATTGTTATTTTGGAATAGTTCAGAAGAGAAAGTATCCTAGTTTGGAATATTAGTATTCAACATTGGAATATTATAAAAAAAAAAATAATAAAAAAAAAAAATCTATATCTATATTTATATAAAAAGGTTTGATTTTTTTTAGATAGTAACTATTTCTCGCAAAAAAATATATTGTTTACTAATTCTGGAAACTATTTAAACATTTTATGGTATGTTTTAAAGATACAATTTAGGTAATTGCGGTTGATTAATTAAGGTAAAAAATCACATAAAAATTCTTTTGTATCTCAAGATATTCATATCATATATTTGCACATATATATCATATATTTGTAGCTAAAATATCGAGATATATCACATTCCTAACAAATATTAAATTTACTTATATATTTCTAAATCACTCCATCAATAAATAATATTAATATACATTAAATATTTATCATTATATAAAAAATATTACTTCTATAAATGGTATAAATAATATTGACATTATACGACAATAAATTTTTGAAAAAAAATAATATTTGAGTATTATGATGAACCAAAATATGTAAAATTATTATTTTTTTGTATTAAAAATTATAATGTTATTTATATTAATATAGACATATCAACGGACTAATACATTGTTAAAATAAAATTTTGCAAAAATATTTTACATTGAAAAATTTTCGTGCATCGCATGAGATTTTCACTAATATTGTATTATACTAGTACGCATGATGAAAAATATTGATTAACATAAAAATAAGATATTGAAAAAAATATTTGATTAGTATACTATTAATTAAAAATTACATCTGGCCATGTTTAGTAGTTGGTCCGAGAGGATGATCAGCCACACTGGGACTGAGACACGACCCAGACAAGTAATAACACTAAATGAATCTATAAAAATTTTCAATAACATAAGTTACCATAAAATAAAGAAATGAAATCCAAGAAGTCAACCACGGCACAGACAGAAGAACTCGTTATAAGTTCTATCCAGATATGTTCTGATCGCCAACTCATACTTGATACGATTTCGTTTTATTGGACTAGTACTACTCATGAGCGTGGCAAGC